CTATTATTTACTACATAATTTATTTTTGTATATAACTCGATATAACTATAAATTTTTTAGTAAATAATATAGAAAAAGTAAATATATAAATATTTTAAAATGTGTATAAATAAGCAAAACGAAAAGATATAAAAATAGGATGAGATATATAGATAATTAATTAACTAAAATAATATATATATATATACATGATTCTTAGTTTTGGTCGCTTATATATGCATCAAGTCATTTATATGTATTTACTATTATTTTAGTTATTTAATTGTTTATATATTTATTCAATCGTTTGACTAGCTTATTTTCTTTTGTGTATTCACGTATTCATCAAATTATTTATGTATTTATTCTTTTGGTTATATAATTATTTTTATATTTAATCATTTATTATCATTTTTTATTGATTTTTTTTTTTGTGATTTATTTGTAAACTTTTTGATCACTTATATATATTAGGTAAATTTATTTGTTCATTTTTTAAATTATTTTTAACTGTTTATATATTCATTTACCTGGGCATTAATTTTTAGATTTTTATATTTTGTTTTTTCATGTAAAATTTTGTAAGTTTATTTCTTTATTTTCCCCTTGCTTTATTTATTCAACTATTTTTGTTTTATTGGTTTATGTATTTTTAATATTTATGCATGCATCCAATTATTTATTTATTCATTTATATTTATTTACTTATACGTTTCTTTTCTTTGTTCATTTAATGAACATTATTATATTCCCATCCTATATCTTTATTTGTTCAATTACTTACATATTTATTAATTTATTTTTATAGTATCTTGTTTTTGTGTTTTTTTGTTTTGTTCTTTTATATTACGTCTCATATTATTTATTTATTTAATTACTTAGATTTAGATAGATTTTTTCATTTTTTTAAATATTGATTTATTTGTAGATTTTTTTTCATTTTTATGTTTCATAAATTTATTTATTTATTTATTTATTACTTTATTTATTAAATAATTCCACTGATGAGTTTAAAGTCAAAGTTTTTTAAATTTTCTAATATTATAGGATCTAAATTATTAATGAAATTATTAATTTTGTGGCTCGATGATCTAATTTAGGTAATTGCGTAATTAACAATAAAATTTTTGATATTTTTCATGATTTTAAAGTGAATAGTACATATAATGCAAATTATCAAATCATGAAAAAAATAGTATATATTTTTTTCGTTAATAATTAAATATTCTAAACTATATTGTGTCAAATTAGTCTTCATTTCCAATGACAATTGATTCCACCTTGGCTAATTTTCGAGTTGAAAACTTTCGAAAAATGCCGTTCTGAGTTAACTGACGTTCAAATTTCAGTTAACGTGTTTTAAAATCCAACTCGATTCCCATGTTCGCGGAGTTAACGTGAGAATTAAGCTTAATGGTGGAGAATGGATGAGTGAACGGTTTTCGGATGGTTACGCTTCCGGGTGAAAAGTGTGCCTCGAACGAGATTACTTGATTGCACGATGGAACGTTGATTGTTGGAACGGGATACAATTATGACAGCGAAGAGTTTGTAGCTACATTAATTGTTTACAATTTTTGTTCGTGTTGATGACGAATATTTTAAGTAAAATTACACGAATGCAAATGTGAATAAAATCTACGTATAATATCTGTAAACTTTTATCTAGAACTTTTACATTGCTTTCGTTATTATTAATTTATTCATGTTTTATTTTAGTTCATAATGTAACAACATCTTGAAAATTAATTATTAATAATAAAAAAGATAGGAATATAACGTAATAACTTCGATGAGGTTTTTTTTTTACGCTTTCTATAAAAATAGAATACGTAGGTAATGTTGATAAATAAAGTTTTTATATTAATTCATATTAGCATAATATTTTCTAGAAGAACGGTTTTCTAGAGAAACGTTATTTATAAATCAATTGACGTTATTTATAAATCAAATTCAAGTAATATAGTATAAAATAATGAAAAAAATAAGAAAAATTTAAACCAATTTGAAATAATATAAAAAGTACATTAATATGAATATTATATATTTCACGTAAAATTATTTAATATTAATCGTTTTCTTTTTTTTTTTTTTAAGCATTCAGAAACTTTGTAAGTATAAAAAATAAATATAATGAGTATATATTGAATCATAGAAATTATATTTCTAAGTTTTTTTTATTTTACTTGCATTTTGCTCAGCGAATATCGAACAGTGTCGACAAACTTCCAATCACTAGAATTTCTAACTTTATTAATAACCAAGTTTCTTTTAATCTGTTGTAATCCCTTTCTTCTTATTACATTGAGAAATATCATACCTATTTTATGAAAGAAATATTATCCAGAGAAACGAAACGCTGAAAATGGAAGGAAGACAAACAAATGTTATATTTTTGTAGACTCGGTGATCACATATTCGAGGATTTGAATTATACGATTAGGGAATTGCTTGCAATTCTGTAAATTTTGGAATTCAGCGGATTTACTTTCAATTTGAACGAAATTTTGAATGTTTACAAACCAGCAGCAAAATCACGCAAACACTCGCAAAGGAAGTCCTTTCAATATTGAATGTTCCCGCATCTATGATGGTGGAGTCTGCTAGATAAGCTTCATTGATGAATCCGTTTACTTCATCTAATCTTTTTTATTTTTATTTTTATTTTTTTTTTTTTGTTAGAATTGTCAATCGATTTTAAGTATTGTACATTTGGAGCCACGTTCGAATAGATAGAAGTTGACAATTTTGTGAAAAAAATCCATCCTGGATGAATATAATGGACAGATCATCAGAAAATCAATGGATTTTTGGGAAATCTAAGATTTATGAAATCGAATAATTATAAAATGAAAAAGGAAGGAATCACTGGTAAATTTAATGAACAACTTACAATTTGAAAATAAATTTTATTTTCAAATTAATAATATAAATTATTAACAAAACATTAAAATTATGAAATATAAAAGACATACAAAAAAATTGTTTTACAAATATCAATCAATTACAATCACAAAATCATTAATATCAATGTTTTTGAAGAGATTTTTTATGAGTTAAATTACCTCAGTCCAAATATAATAATATAATAAAAATATGATAAAAAGAAAATAATATATTAGGAATTAATATAAAATTATAAAAAAAATAATAAATTATTTTTATATATATAAATATATATTTTAAAATATAAATATAAGTTTTTAAAAATGAAAAGGATATTCTTCGCATATTCTTTCTCGATACAGAGATTTATGAACACGAGAAAAAGTGCAAGTTGTTTTTCCATTTCAACACATCTCTCCCATGAATGCGAAGAAAAATAAATCTTTCTATAATATACTGTACACCAAAGTGTACGACATTAATTCTACACGCCTGCCTTCTCCCTTATCCAATCTCGTATGGCGGACACTCGCGTGTACACACCAGGAAATTTATCAGATGCACATTCTTTACCCCAAGATACGATACCGATTTGAACGTTATTGTACACCAGTGGACCTCCGGAATCACCCTATAATAATAATTATATATGAAAATTGATATTAAAATAGAAACAAATGCATATTAGAAAGATGTATAAAATGTGATAGATATTTCATGTGTATATTTATTATGAGTGTTAGAATGTTTATAAACATAATTTTAATGAGAAATTTTAGATGAGAAGTCACGATATTAGAATTATTAATATAATCGGTGTTTGGATGCTTATTGGATAAAAAAAGAATTTCATTTTTCAATTATTTCCTTATTAATAGAGTAGATAGAGTAGTAGGTTAGAATAAATTAAATAATAATTCGAAAAATAATCAATCTATATTAATTGCAAAAGAATCTGTAATTAAATTTTTTTACTTATAACACACTTATTTTTAATTGTGTTAGAATAATCAATTATTGTGCATCTTTCGCAAAATAAAATAAATTATATTAACTTTTAATTAAGTTTCTAACGAGATATTTGATTAAAGTATTTTTTAAAATTCAGATCGTGGAATATTAATGATCAATAATTATCGTTAAATTAACATCAAATATTAAAGAAAAATGCAAGCAAATTCGATAATTTATTCTCGAAACGAAGGAACAACATAGGAACAAAGAATTGAAGAATTGAAACATACATAACAACTATCTTTTCCACTCAAACCTCCCGCGCAGATCATAATTTCTGTCACCGTATTGATTCCGTTGAAAATTATTTCGCACGCCTTTTGGTCCACGATAGGTAACGTTAAGATTTGCAAAATGTCGGATATGCTGTTCTTATTTACCTGCAAATAGATTAGATAGATAATCGACAATTATCTTGATCGATCATTGGAAAACGTGTATCATTTATGAAACTAGTTCAAGATAGTGGAAATGCCGACGAGAACGTCGAATGTTTGACGACGAACATTGTCGACCGATCGGCAAACAAACCTTAATGTTTGCACGAATTCGCGCAGCTAGGTAATCAGTCTCGGCGAATGTCACGATTGAAGTATCAGAGCCACTGTGTCAAACACGAGTTTATTCTGTACTGTCAGCTGTCAGAACGATGGATGCACGGGATGAAAATGGATGTCCGAAAAACTTACCGACAAATAGCCCCATCCTGTCACTACTGCATTTTTTCCAATCTCTATCGAGGTCGTAGAGTCAGCCAGCGTGATCGGTTTCGTAGTCGGGCTTATTTTCAGGGGGGTCGACAGCTGCGAGAAAATATTGTGAGTTTACAATCCTCAGATTTTCTTTTCTAGATCTAGATATTTCTAGATTGGATTTGTTTTAAATATAACATCAGAAATCATGTTAGAAATTTTTAAGATTAATATTTTCTCTGATCGTTTGATAAAATTGTTGTAAGATGAAGTGCCTTATCTATAAATTTAATAATTATAAAAATCCTTTGAAAAGTCATATACGACTTTAAAATAGTTTAATGCTTGAACTTATTCATATTATATTCAAAATTTAGAAAAATGTAATAAAGGTAATATAAAATTTGCAATTTAAATTAATAATTTCCAATATCTGGAGAATTTCGATCACAGATATAAAAATATTGTAATTGTAATCATTGGAGATTTTTATAAAAATCAGTAATATTTGTTATTTAAAAGATTTTCAGATGTCAAATGATTAATAAAAATAATTTTATCTATTAGAAATTCTTAGAAAATATCTTCGAAATGGTCTTTGAAGATTAAAGATATAAGAGATTAAGATAGTTGAATAGAGGATTTATTAATAACTTTTAATTTCAAAAATTTAATCTTTTTAAGTAAAATATTGAATTTAAATAAGATTATTTAATCTTTGCTTCATAAGTATGTTTTTCAATCTTTAAGCAATAATTAAAAAAATAATCCTGTTAATGGTGATAAGTTTATACAAATTATACAATGATTACAATTACATAGAATTATGTAAGCTCTTGTAATAAGTTCAAGTAAAATAAGAATAAAAAATAATTTATCATCTCCTTATATATAGTTTTATTTAGAAATCTTAATCTATATTGTATACATTATTATAATAAAAATCAAATCTTTATTGTATTAACTTGTCATTGTCAAGAGCATTATCTTCAAATGTATAAATGGAACTATTTTGTTAATAATTAAGAAAAGAGAAATAATGTATAGAATATACGTTATTCTATACATAATACTTCGATTAAATTATTAAAATTGAAAACGAGAAAAGTTTAAATAAACTTTTAAATATTATAATTATAAGTAAAATATATAATATAGTAGAGATATCTACGTATTATGGTTAAAAATAGATAATTTGATTAAAAAAAATATTCAAAGTAGTTTATTTATTTTATAACAGAAAAATTAAGAAATAAAATCACACTAATTAGTTATACTATATAAATTTAGTGTGAATTAAATTATATAATATAAATAACAAAAAAACCGATTTAAGTATACAAAAGAACTTGTCCTATCCAAGTCAATTTTCTTTGTAATATTCTTCTGTACATTTTCAAATTGTAATAATTTTTTAATTTGCAATAGAATTAAAATAGATTAACCATTATATACTAAAAAGAATGATATTAAAATCTAAATTTTTAATAGCAAGAAGATTCCAAGATAAAAAAAAAAAAAAAAAAAAAAAAAAAAAAAATTAAAAGAAGTAAATTAAAAAAT